ATAATATGTTTACCCAAGTGAACATTTTAAACGCAGTAGCTATATATGCATTTCATTCACATACGATTATTTATTTTGTTTAATGCGCGGATGTAGTGATTTACATGATGATGAGACAAGCCAGATTTCAAGACTTTTATTTTAAACTAATAATGAACGCTTAACCTTATGCAACAAATCTTTAATATGGATTCAGAATTTGAAATAAAATTTTATTTATTAGCGAATTGCCTTTGTTTAATATAGGATCTTTATTCCATATACTAATTCTTTCGGGATGCATAAAAAATAGTTTTATCGATGACTATTTTCAATCAAAAATAAAGTATTTGATTGAAATGTGCTTCTGAATATAATAAAATATTTAGTTGAGTAAGGAAAATTAATATTGCAAAAACGTTGTTGTGTTTGAAATTTTATTATGCCAAAAAGGTTGTTTTCGGATGATAATTACAAGGAATTTTGTCGAAACGAATCCATTTTGAGACTAATGAATAATAAGATACAATCTCACTAACTAAATTGATTTTAAATTTTGGTCGTGTAAAGCTAAAAACGATTCGGCATTTGGGTGAAATAAAAATGACAGTTTTTGATGTACTAAGAAAACTACTAACAAATTTACAAAATTTAAAAGCGTTCGAATACCATTTGGAAAAAGGAGAAAATACATATTTCACTAACAATCACCAAGAAATCAGCTAAGGCGACCATCAAACTTATACTCATAATACTTTTTGATTTTTTATATATAACTATAATTATTTTGGGTGAACCTAGAGAAAATTTTATATCTTCAACAGTTAATTAGGAAGTAACAACTTAGCCAATATATTATTATAAAATACATCGTCACTGTTAATGAAAATAGAATAAATAATAATATTTTTATATTGCGAATTTAGAAGTTAAAATTCATTATTAGTTGCAGTACTTAAGTTGCGAAATTATTAAGAGAGATTCTCTCTTCTTAACCAAACTTCTTCTCTCTGAGAGAAGAAGTTTGGTTGATACAATCTTTTGGTTTAAGTTTTTGTTTCTTATCTGCATTTTACTCTAAATTCCAGAACTAATAAATTAATTATGAAATTTAGAAGGAATGTTTATTCTATTTATGAAACAAATTGACACATTTATTATACAAAACATATGTTACATGTTTTCATTCTTATACCGTATGTTAAAGCCATAAAAATGTTTAACCATTGTTAATCAAATAATATACCCAAATATGTTCAGAGAGTTGAAACCGTAGAGATTGAAATTTATCTTTTCTTGCATAATGAGCTCCTTTGATCTAGTTGAATATTTTCAAGAAACAAAAAGAAACCGAAACAAGCAATTGAAGGGGCTTTCATCGTTTGTTTATAAAACCCGCTGTTTACTTTGAGTTTAAGTTTGAGGTCATAATCATTTACAATCGCATTTCGAAGTATGTGGTCTCATTCAGTGCTTTATGATAAATAATTATAAAGTTACAGATACTACTTATATAGCAGAAAAACAAACTAGTGGTGCATAGCATCGTGCCTTAAGGCAAATTGCTGGAACTTCCCGTACCAGAATTAAATATACAGACAAAAAAATAATAATCAAATACTGATCAATGATTAATAACAATTGTTTTAAATATTTTCAAAGAGATAATTATAATTACTATACATGCATTCATACAGCTAATATACAGTGACGATCTTATCGCTCAAAACACTTGAAAATGTTTACATTAAGAAGATATGTCGTGAATGAATCCATCTGAGGATATATTTCTTTCCATTACAATACCGCATATGAAATATATACATTTTTTTAAGAAAAGTAATTTAAAGTATACAACCTTCCATATTTTGAAAAAGAAAAACCTGAAAATTTTGACATTTGTTTGAATCTTGGTATGGAACCCAAAACAATTGTAATAAAATTAGTACTCATGTTTAAAATTTCTATAAAATCTGACCATATGGCTAATGATCATTTTAGACCGCCAAATATCATTTTTTTTCTACATTTTCCTCTGTATCTCCGAAAACGCTGGACATTGTTTCATTGTTTCGTCAATGAAGATATAAAATGTTTTTTTGAATAATTCAAATCGGGCGCTCCGTTCTCTCAGGCACTGAATTGCCGTTTTTGGGACTTTTTTGCCTAATATCTTCGAAACGGCTAGGCCTGTCTTCTCCAAAACATCTTCTCATCAATAGGAATAGAATGTTTTTTGAAACAAAACTGATGAGAAGTAGATCGAATCGATTGATCCGTGCGCCCGAAATCGTGGACTAAAAATTGTATCAGCACACATACACACACATGCATCATTTTTTTCTAAGGAACGCCAAAATGATCAGAAACTTTTGAAACGTAAAGATATATAAACATTTTCATTTTCGATTTTTTTGCTATTACTATATCTTACCCTGCAATTTATATTAAGTATAATGTTTCATATTGAAGGAAATAAAAAATCCGTCCGGATAAAATTTTACTTTTTACTAGAAGGTGAAATTAAATGCAGATATTTATGAGCAGTAAATGCTCGCATGTTTTATATGTAAGAACATTATAAAATATTATGTGGACGAGCGCAATAAATAATTCGATAAATTAACTGCAATTTACGCAAAGTCCATTAATATACGCCCACAGTACACATAAATTCAATTGCATGTGGCAGTTAATTTTCAACAAGATTTATTAATTAGCAATCAATTTACATAAATCAGGCGAAACATTTACAAAACCTGACGCGAATCAGGCGATGAGCCACTTCTATACAAAAACAAACAAAGCATTAAATTTATCGAAACTTGCGCCACAAAATCAATAAATGTTGATCCAAATTCTCTCTGCAAAATTATTATTACATTATACAATTCCAAAATAACGGCAAAATGTTATGGTAATTTTGAGTATTATTAGATATCATTTACTTATCTAATCCACAGATGCCATTTAATAAAAAAAATAGTGGTGTATGGCATCGTGCCTTAAGACAAATTACTGGAACTTCCCGTACCGTAACGAAATATTAAATGTTTTCAAATAGATTATTATGAATAATGTAACATTGTCTAATATTTATAAGAATTATGTAAACTGAATTACAAAGTTGAAATTATTTAAAGTATATAAGTGATCTTAAGAACTTTAGCCAGAATTAAAATTAAAATCTGAATTATTTTCGATATACAAAAATAATTTTTTTTGGATTTTTTTTGTCCAAAAGCAATGTTATGTCAACACAAGCATAAAGTTTTTTAAATAATTCAAATCGGATGCTTAGTTTTCTCAACAACTGCTATTTTTTGTATATTTATCTCTGTATCTTCGAAATGGTTGAACCTGCCTTTGCCAAAAACTAATCACCACATCTCCCTATCAATACAAAATGAATATTTTTTGGATCATTCAAATCGGATACTCCGTTCTCTCAAAAACTCGATTTCTATTTTCTGCACTCTTTGCTCCGTATCTGGACCTGCCTTTGCCAAAAACTAATCAGCACATCTTTCTATCAATAGGAATCGAATATTTTTTTAACCATTCAAATCGGGTGATCCGTGCGCCCGAAAACGTGGACTAAGAAATGCGGACACTCAAAACACACACGCATCCATTTTTTTGAGATATGCTAAAATGTTCAGAAACCTTTAAAACGTGATGATATGCAAAAATTTTCATTTTCAATTTTTGGCCCATTACTAGAACTTACCCTACGGACATAAGATAGTATATTATAGTATATAATAAAATAAAAATAAATAAGCTAGTATATTATTAGCAAGTAGTTGAGTACACCGTTTAACAAAAAAAGCTATTTATGAAACTAAAATTGAACCATTAATTCTTTGTTCTATGAGCTGAAATTGTATTTCCTTAACTAATTGTAAGTGTTATTAGAAGGCAACCGAATTGTTGACCATTCTCTTCCTGATGAAACTATAATTAGATTTTTCAAAATGCGATGGCTATTTTAAATTGTAATCCTATTTTAGATTTATAATTCCAAGTAAAAACTTATATTACTAAAGTAGCTAAACCCATAAAAATCTGTTTATCCAGCACTAAAAGCGTCATATTTAGCTTATTAAACAGTATAAATATACTTATAATACATAATATAAATAAATTAATTGATAATGAATTTTTGTCATATCATTTATGATTTTTTCTTTTACGTAAATGACTTCATTATATTTTTGAAACTTTTCTTAGTATTCAAGACAAATTAAATTCTAATAATCTCTCTACAATAAATCGTCCAGAATAACTAATAGTAATATGTTTCGTATCAAAATGATAAAAATTAAAAATAACCAAACTTTTGAATGTAAATGATGCAATAAATACCCAATGCTGTAATTAACTACAAAAAGGATTTACGTAACTCTTTATAATTACTTAAACCCATATATTTTCTATCATTAATTTTATGCATGCAATAGTCAAATTTCATTTCACTATTTATACAAAAGAAGAGTTTGTTTATCTAATAAACTTTCAGTATAAATACTTCTGTTTTATTTTAGTTTTTCGTGGTTTTATTTTGTATACAATAGGCCGCGTGTTTCCAAGAAAATCTCATAAAATCAAATTAAAGTGAATTTTTTAGTTTATAATCGATCGTTCAATTCGAGCTAATTTGATTACGTAAATTTAATTTATGATCATAACATTTTAAGTTTGGTATTTTATTAAAAAGTTTCCTTGATGATATGATAGACAAAATCATTTTTATAAACATATAGTTCGATAATTTGTATATTACTATGATAATATAAATTTCTGGATATTTATATTGATAATATGCTTTTATTTTCAACATTCAGATAATGTTGAAAAAATTTCTGATAAAATGTTAAAAAAAATTAAATATATTTATATTAACATAGTATTGATTTGCAAATTAAAAAATCAATCAAGAATGAACATAACATAAATATGTCCATTCTCATGAGCATATATATGATGGCACATAAAAATGTATTTTCTTTTTATTACAGTTATTAGATACCCACCTGCACATTCACATGATTCCATTTCCAATCAAAATAGATCAAATTCACCATCCTCGCCGGGTCATCAAAGTTCATCAGGTAATGAAATTCATCAGAATAAAAGGAGTACTGCAAATTAAAATTGAATATTTAAAAATAATGATACTAAAATTGAAAATAAACAATAAGTTTTTTGTAGTATCTGTGCAATGAAAAGTATAGATGAGGATAAGATCTACTTATTATGTATGTGTTGAGAGCTTTTTCATAACTTTACATAAAAAAAGTTAGAAACTCTCGCACAATTTTTCTGAAATAAATTATTTAACCAATAGTCAATATTTTTCTATTTTTCAGCAAAAAGGAAGCGTTCTTGGTCCCGAGCAGTATTCAGTAATCTGCAGCGAAAAGGTCTCGAGCGACGATTTCAAATACAAAAATATATTACGAAACCCGATAGGCGGCAACTTGCCGCCACTCTAGGTCTTACTGATGCACAAGTGAAAGTATGGTTTCAAAATAGAAGAATGAAGTGGCGGCATCATACAGTTACATCTCCACATGGTGATGCCGCCGCTGCCGCAAAACGAGAGCAGGAAATTGCTGCTCTAGAAGGGGATGAAATAAATAGTGATTAGAAATTAATTGCAAAATCAAATACTTTTCGAAATAAAGTGCCTTTGAAGGATTTATATATTATTCTAATAAGTTAATCGCAATGGTGATTAAATATCCACTAATTATACAAATAAAACATAAGTATAGGTTGGGTATGTTAAATAATAAATAAATCCATATATATATAATTCTTTATAATCTCTAATCAGAGACAATATGGATAAGCTATAGTATATTATGCCATATTTAAATCAAACATTAATAGTAATATATATTTGCAATACTATTATAAAACTTATTTAAATCCCCTGGATGCCATAAAACATGTGTAACTGCAGTACATAAAATTACTCTTGTCAAATCTTACAAAATTTACGAATTACGAATTTTATTTTATTTACGAATTTACGTGTTTGTCTTATTAGAGTGTATACAACATTATATAATTATGATGTAATAAAATGAAAACAAGCAATTAAATAAAAAATACAATTCATTTTTCCTTGAAACTGTATTATGAAAAAACTACTTCTTTAGATATGTGTAATAAATAATTAGCATGCATTATGTGAGATGCACTAGAAAAACTTCATGTTTTAGGCATATTTCTGTAGCATGCCCACAATCTGCAAATATGTTGTTTGGTATGTATAATAAAATTCAAATTATTAACTTTTGAATGATGCTACCTAATGTGTTCCGAATATATGTAACAAACAAACAATGTAATTAACATTAAAAAACATTCGATTCGTATTGATAAGGAGACGTGCTGATTAGTTTTTGGCGAAGGCAGGTATAGCCGTTCCGAAGATATGGCGCAAAAACGTGTGCAAAAAACGGTAACTCAGTTTTTAAGAGAACGGAGCGTCCGATTTGAATAATTCAAAAAACATTTTGTTTGTATTAACAAGATGAAGAACTGATCAAATTTTCATAAAGGCAGGTCTAGCAGTTTCGGAGATATAGAAAAAAAAGTAAAAAAAAATGCCATCTGGCGGTCAATGATCATTAGACATATGCACATCAAATTATCAGATATTTTATAGAGATTTTAACACTAAGTATAAATTTTGTTTACATTCCTATGGGTTCCGTACCAATACTTATCCGTTAGACGGCGGCGCGGCGCTTACCCGCTTCGATATTTCGGCTCCATGCAGTTAAAGCAGTACGACCGCTTTGAAAAAAAGTTCAGAATTTCTAAAATATTTCAAAATACACTTTTCTTCAAAAAGTCTTTTTTTCAAAAAAAAGTAAATTTTTGTCAAAAATTTATAGTTCCCAAAAATCTAATTTTTCAGAGTAAATTTTTTTCAAAAATGTTAATCTTTTAAAAAAATAATAATTTTTGGTACGGGAAGTTCCAGCAATTTGCCTTATTAATTTATTAATATGTTACCTTATATAACACATCACCGAGTCTTCCCGATCTGGCGTGGCATATCTATTACCAGGCTGTGAGTTGCCCCAAAATAGTATATTAGTTCATGAAGATCTCTCAACTCAATAGAACTTTTTGTGACTCCTGCAGTAATCTGAAATCAGAAAATAACATTTTAATATATGATAGCATATCTTTAGGATAAAGGCAGTATTTGAAATCAACCTAGTTCAAATTTTGCAGTGAGTCTGGCAACTTACTGGCAAGCGTAATTTTTCTCACCCACAGAATTTTCACAGATCAGGGCAATCAATCTCTCTTTAATTGTTTACCGCCATTTCAAGTTTGTCCATTGAGAAGATTAGATTTAATTGGCATAAATTAGAAACAAAACTAGTAAACTATGTTATGCCATCGTGCTTTAATGCTGGAACTTTATTAGTTTTTTTTTATAATTTTATTTGAACAGCGATCAGAACTTATGGGTTCTATGAGCTGTTGTGATTAAGATATTACAAACTACGTTTGTTTTTATTACAGATGGCAACCCTAACAGTTGTCACATCTCTGTATGATGAATTTTTATTACAATCTCTGTAATAGGGCATGTATGGTGCAACAATATACCGGGTGAGGGCTATTTTCACTTGGAAACATATTGCTATCTATATTTCCAAGTGAAAATCGTTGTCAATGTTGCCTGACAACAGGCTGCTCGAAGTGAGTATCGAACCCGGGACCTCTGAAACAAGTCCCGTCGCTGTCAACCGCTTACCTACGGGCGAGCCAGAACTTTATTAGTAGAAAAATTATAATTTTTAGAAAAGCTTTAAGTAGTTAAAATATTTTATATCATTTTTTTTTAAAAAAAAGCTTTAAATTTTCTAAAAGACTTATATTTTTAAAAAAATATATTTGATATATAGTTAGCGGTTCATGCGCCGGAATTGAAATAGAAAATACTAACATATTTTCTTCCGCTACGAATCGCTAGCAGCAAAGTCTTCACGATAAAGAAAGTCACTAACAAGTAAACTAAGCCTCGATTTATGGAAGAAACTAATAAAACGCTCATCTATTGAGCAGATTGATCTATCAATCTGGGGAGACTAAAGACGCGGACTACCGCACGAGCTTTGAAATTTGGTAATCTGAAAAACTGAAGAAGATAAAAATGAACCAGTAAGATGATATTCGAAGAGGTATTGCAAAGCGTAAGAATCTGATTGTAAAAGAAAGACGACCCAGGATGAAAGATTTATTGGAAAAGAAAGAATAAATAATACAGGAATTTAGAGCAGATATATATTACACTGATTATGAGGTATGGAAACGAAAATGTTAAATTAAATGTAGTGCTTTGGTAATGAACACCTGCGTTTAGGCAAAGCACTATTAAATAAAATAACTAGTTGGTTTGGTATTTAGCCTTGAGGCAAGTTATATGAACTTCCCGATATTTGTAAATAATCGACTTAATCAATAAAAAATAAATTAATTTATGAGTGATTACAAGTTTTCCGAGTGGATTTATTACACATCATTGCAAACGAACGAACGAACACGTTAACTCGGAGTATTTTATAAAAGCAAAGTTTCAAAAATCAATAATTTTAATTAATTAATAATTATAATTGAACTAGTTTTCGTAGGACTTTAATGGTTTACTATGTTCAAGACCTAGTACACTATCGTTATACCAACTAAATCATCTAATTTTATCTTTAACAAACGTCAAAAAAACTACTCATTTTTTAAAACTTTGATGATTTTTTAAAATTAAGCTACTTGTCGTAAGGCCGTAATAATTCAGTAAGTTCTATAAGACCATGATATTATAACGCCAAAAAAAGTTCCAAAGAAATCGGCCTAATTTTTTTTTTCAACAGTTAATTACAAGAAAACTACAGTATCATTCCCAACTAATATATTTCGAACAGATTTTGATTTTTTAAAATCGGTTCGGTAGTATGAGCTTAAGTGTGGACGAAAGGTTTAACACTTTTTTCCAAATTACAAAGAAACGGCTCGGCCGATCGTCGCACAAAACTGAGAAACGATAATCCTCATCGAGATACATCAAATGCTTTTTAAATATCTGAAATCGGTTCAGGCATTTTTGAGCAAACGTCGATGAAAGTTCTAATTTTGACAAATGCCAAAAAGACCATACAAATTTTTGCAAACTTTGACGAATTTTGAAAACTAAACCAGTTTCATTATTGCCGTAATATTTTAGTATGATCTAGAAGACTATGGTATCTACCGTAAAAAAAATAATCATAAAAATCGTCGAAATTCTTTTTTAAAAAACTTTATTACAAGAAAACGGCCCGGCCAATCTCTACAAAAAAACTAATCAGCTCGATTCCCAACCAATATCTTTCGAACGGTTTTTAAATTTTCAAAATCGATTCAGAATTGCGGGCTAAAACGTAGACGAAAATTTTTTCACTTTTCTGCGATTTATAAAGAAACGGCTTGGCCGATCGTCGCACAAAATTGACAAACAATAGTCCTCATCGAGATACATCGAGTGGCTTTTAAATTTTTGAAATCGGTGCAGCCGTTTTCGAGTAAACGTCGATTTACGGCAAAAAATCTGTTCAAATACACGCGCACACACACATACACATACTTTTTCCAAATTTGGTCTCATTCGATTCAGAATGGCTTGAAACGTCGAGAAAACATAAAATTAGCAATTCGGATTTTTTGATGAAAACAAACTTCTCCTTCGGGAAGTTAAACGACAGTTTGTACGGTATATATAAAACACATGTAACGTAGCTGCAACGCAAAGAAAAAACAAGAAATTTCGTTGACTAATCATCAGCTGCGTAACAAAGTTACAGAAAATTTCCTCTGCAATTCGCGGTCAAAAAATTTAAATAAAAGTAAGAATATAAAATATGTAAGTAGACGACCATGCATTTAAGTAAAATTTATTTCCAACATTTACATATTCAAATAATTCTATGAAATATACAAGTTTATTTACCACATTGAATATGAGTTCGAATAGTTTCTGCCACATTTAAATATAAGTTATGAATCAAAGACATAGTAATTCTAAGTTCCCAATATTCAGCATAAAAATGAACTATATTACTTTCAACATAAAAATGAACTATATCTGATATATGTATTAGACACATTTTAATAGTAAATAAAAAAATAAGAGCGGGATATTGGTCGTTTTTGTAACAGAATGTTTTGTTTTATTAATAAGATAAGAACAATTAATAATTAATCATTGCACTTACGCTAGTCAGTAATTTACTTATAATACTTAATGAAATACTAAGGAACACATATCCTCATGGTATTTTGTAATAATATATTCTCAACGAATTTGCAACAGCTAATTGTTTTATGAGCGTATTGATTGCTCTTACATAAAGAATTTTTTTTATATAAAGTTCTTCACAACCATTCGCGATGGAACACAATTAATTATGCGAACAAAAAAAAAAAAAAATTTAGGCGAAAATTTTACGGTAAGAATCGAAATTTGTCTGTGTTAAATTAATGGCAATGTTACAAATCAAATTTTGTAAAATACTTCTATTTAGTAAGTAAATATATATATATATATATATATATATATATATATATATATATATATATCGGCAAGGTATTGAGCGCATCATACAAATGTAACTATTGACTTATTTTGCTTAAAAAAGGTTTTTAGAATATTGTCAACCATCAGTCGATACTCAAATGAGCTCAAAATATTTGTACACTACGAATTTCATTACAATCGTCATTTAGGGTTTGACAGCAATAATTACCTGGATGAGGTATAAGAAGTGTTTAAAATTCATACTTGTTTCTTGGCTTACATTTATTAATTTTTCAGCAATGTGTTTCTTAGAAGTTTTAAGTCCCCTGCATTATCTTTCCTTAGAGCATTAATGTTTGAAAACCCATAAAAAAGTAATAATAAAAATTGGAGGACAATATTTTAAGCAGTTGGAAGAAAAATCTCAAAAATAATGTCAACTAAAGCCTGATTCATTTCAGGATATGCCCGCCATAAAAATTCAACTTTATAGTTTAACATTTACATATCTACATCACATACATTCTTATAACAGAAAATATGCATAATAAATTTGTACCGTTATATACACAGTTTATATTTGTATTACAAGTAATTTTCATCACATAAAAAATAAAGTTGTTTTAATAATCAACTAAGGGCTTAACTTTTGATCCTCTGTTTTGGCCATTATCACTATCGTCACTGCGTTTCTTCTTGCTACTACTACTGCTTCCGCTATAATCATCATTTCTTCGGCTATATCTTGAATCATCTCGATATGATAATCTTGGTTCATCTCGATGAGACCTGAAGTCATCACGATAGGTTCTTGAATCATCTCGATAAGATTTTGATTCATCTCTATTAGATCTATAATCATCTTTATGAGATTTACTATCTTTATATTTTTCCTCATCCTTATAAGTCTTTGAGTCTTCATAGCGATCTTCACGAGTTGAATATTTTTTACTACCTTGAGAAATTGATTCATTCAAATCATTGTGACATCTAGTAACTACATCACTATATGAAGCTCTTGGAAGTTCATGTGTTACAGGTTGAGGAGATGCAGACCGCGATCGTGATTTAGAACGAGATTGACTTCTAGATTCATCTGAGGAATGTGAAGATTGATCGCTATTGTAACGGTGACGAATCGCTCTTTGCCTGAAACAGATGATTTCGATCGACATAAATTTCATGTTAAACGATATTTCACAAAACCTGCATGTGATTTAACACCACAAAACATATATTGACCATGAAGGCTATCATTCAAAATTCTGTAACTTTTACATATCTGACGCAACCTCGTTACTTGATTTTTTAACGCAAATTTTTAAAACTCTCTTATATACTTCAAATGAATGATTTTAACCTTGCAAATTAGTTCATATAATTCCTAGAAATATCAGGTAAGTTCCTTCCATCCAATTCCGCTTGATCAATTTTTGTTTATTTACTTTTTCATATTTGAAAAGTTGATCGGTTCCAAAATAAAACTAGTGGGGTGTATGGCATCGTGCCTTAAGGCAAATTGCTGGAACTTCCCGTACCGTAACGAAATGTTCGAGGAATACTGAATGTTTTCAAATAGATTATTATAAATATTGTAACATTGTCTAATATTTATAAGAATTATATAAACTGAATTGCAAAGTTAAAATTATTTGTTTAAGTTATATTAGAACTTTAGTCAGAATAAAAATAAAATCTGAATTATTTTCGATATACAAAAAAAAAACTAAAAAAAAAAAAATTTTTTTTTCCAAAATCAATTATTTTGTTAACACAAGCAGAAAGTTTTTTGAATCATTTAAATCGGACGCTTAGTTCTCTCAAAAACTGTCATTTTTTACATATTTAGCTCCGTATCTTCAAAATGGCTGGGCCTGCCTTTGCCAAAAACTAATAAACACTTCTCCCAATCATTACTAATTGAATGTTTTTTAGATCATTCAAATCGAATACTCCGTTCTCTCAAAAATTCGATTTCTATTTTCTGCACTCTTTGCTCCGTATCTCCAAAACGACTAGACCTGCCTTTGCCAAAAATTAATCACCTCTTTTCCCTATCAATAGGATTCGAATGTTTTTTGAACCATTCAAATCGGTTGATCCGTACGCCCGAAAACGTAGGCGAAAATTTGTATCCATACATACACACACACACACACACATCCATTTTTTCTGAAGTATGCCAAAATGTTCAGAAACCTTCAAAACGTCGAGAAATGTAAAAATTTTCAATTCCGATTTTCGGCCCATTACAATAACTTACCCCTACGGGAAGTTAATAATTGAAAAAAAATAAGGGTGTACTCATAAGAAGAAGCTGAAAGTTCAAGAAAATTTGTTACATTTTTTACTCTGCGACAAACAAGTATCTTAAAAAATTAATGAAAAAATAATGATTTATTGTTTGTAATATTATACTTGTCTCAAATAATTATCATAAGATAGAATATTCTCAAAATTTAAAAAAAAATGTTAAAATAAGTTTAAAAAATCATTATAAAACGTTTTTAATCTTTCCTGAAAAGTAGTAGTTTTTGAGATACAAGGTTGCGTCAGAAAACCATCGATATGGATGAATTTTCCAAACAAAATAAACATTACAAAGTTTCTAAGAGATCTCCTTTTGTTCTAAGAATTTGAATAAAAAGATGATAACACATAACTAAATATTGTAAATATATTTGTAAACAGATAATAGCATTAAATGACCATGCATATTCACGTTTAACTATTTAGACATCCAAATTGATATGAACTGGGTAAAACATATTAAGATTAACAAACCTGCGTCTAATTTTTATAGCCATCTCTCTCATTTCTTCATCTCTTTCAATTTGTTGTTGTAAAACTCTTTCATTACGCTCTATTTCTGCCTTTTTATCAGCTTTCACTAGTTAGCAAAAAATTAAAAATAAAAACAAATCAATATATTGCAAATTCATAGACACTAAAATTAAGACATTTTTACAAAACGTACATGTTCGTGCCAACTGCGCCTGCATTTTCCTTTTAAGGCGCTCTTGAATGTTCAAAATTCCGCCACCTGAACTGGTCTGCTAAAATGATATACATTAAAATCATAAAAAGATAATAAATGTTTTTTATAATATAGAACAAAACTAATATAACGCTAGTTTAGAATTAAATAATGAATAATTTAGTTAATAGCGGTATATAGTGTATTGAGTATACTATACTCGAGCAGTGTGCCACAAAAGGGTCCACTTCAAATTGTTTGTGAAGAAATTTTCAAAATTCCTACTAAAAAAATCTCAAATCTTTACTAATCTCTAGAAAGAGAAACTAATAATGAACAAAAAAAAATTAATTAGTTAAATATCTAAACTTTGATTATAATGATTCCAATATTCGTATTATTTTACTTACTATACTATTTAATCATAAATACATTTGAATCATAAATGCTGGAACACTAAAAATACATAAAAGAAAATACATCCACATTTTTATAGCATAATTCGGTTCAATTGGTGATAACGATTGATGAACATAAAATAGGACTTTATATACATCCAAGAGTGCAATGAAATTAACTTTGTTCTGTGTTTTGTAGAAAAATTAGCACTTCAATGTTTGTATTGATTATTACCATTCACATTATAGCACAATAATAAAAAAAGGTGCTGTGCTATTTTATAATTCAATTAATCATAACATTCATTATCATGGCACCTGATAAAAAATTAATGAACACAAATATTACAGTGATGACCCAACATAAACCCGACTTACGACTGTTTTGATATACAAGCAAAATTCGAGATACAAGCTTTGAGCCTTCAAGAGTTTTCTATAAAAACGTTAATGGCAAAATTAAAATATGATAATTTAAGTTAGTCATTTCAATTATATATTAATATTAATTGTACAATAACGATTGAAATTTTGACTGTACTGTTATATACGTTGAGTTCGCGTTTTTTGCTTTTTATAAATTTGCAAAATATTATTTACTTGTTTAACAATGGATAAAAACAAAACTTTATACTGTATTGTACTATACCGTACACTGCCAAGGATGTAAGAGGGTAGCACATCAGAGATATGTACTGGGTGTAAATAGTGTTAGAACGAAATATCGAGTACTGAGTAAATATCGATACTTTGCGGTCGATAGTGAGTACTTTTGCTATCGATTTTTTAGCTCGATCTATTTGCCAATATCGATCTTTTTCGTCGATAGTACTCAAAAAGAATCGACAGTGTAATCTATGAACACCACTCATCGATCAACTATGATCACCACTTATTTTGCCAAATGCAATCCAATAGTCTCTCTAGGTGGTCATAATTGTTCAAAGAAGTGTCAAAAAACGATCCCTAAGGGTCATCAGTCTCAAAATTTATTGCTCAAAAACCCAAAATGAATATGACCACACTAATAAAGTTGTTTATTTATTACTCTTATGTAAAATGAGAAGTATTAAAGTACCAATATGTTTTATAAAAACATATTCAACAATCGAAGTATGATTATTTCAAATAAAAATACTCATCCATTTCAGTATATTAGTATTTTGCGTAAAAAAGAATCCAAATATAATTATTTCAAATAAAAATACTCATCCTTTCAGTATATTAGTATTTTGCGTAAAAAAGAATCGAAATATAATTATTTCAAATAAAAATACTCATCGATTTCAATGCGCTATTATTTTTCTTTCTAAAAGTACTGTAAGTTGAGTATTTGTAAATTCAAAATTAAATAAACAATTTAAAAAAGAACAGAAGAGCAATATTTTGTTTGTGAATCTTAACATGTCTCGTCTTCAGTTTGTGCACATTATGAACATATTTTAGGAATCGGATTTCAACTGACCCTTTCTGAATAAATGACAACAAAACGAAAGAATACTTTCTTTAGTATAGTGGGCAAAAAACATTTAGAAAATTATAAATTAATTTGGTTCTTGTGGCAATTGTATGCAAAATACTAATATATTGAAATGACTGAGTATTATTATTTGAAATAATTCCATTTCGATTCTTTTGACGCAAAATACTAATATATTGAAATGGATGAGTATTAATATTTGAAATAATTATATTTCGATTCTTTTTACACAAAATACTAATATATTGAAATGGATGAGTATTATTATTTTGAATAATTATATTTCGATTCTTTTTTTATGCAAAATACTCATGTATTAAAAGTTTTGAATATCAACATGCAAACATATGGGTTTGAGTTCCTCGGAACCATTTAAACTTTAAATCCCATCGCACAGAAGGGATGTTTCTCTACAAGTGTCAAAATATTATCTTGACAGTCATTAAACTGAATGTTTATTGCTTTCCAAAAGGCTTCATATTGCACTTTTATATAAAAACTTAAGTTTAAGGCCTTTTGAAGTTGCATGCTCGCTAAAATTATTCATATAAAAATATTCAACAATTATAAAATATTATTTTACTTAAAAATATTAAAAATATTATTGTACTTAAAAATACTTAAAAAGTATTGCTTTTTGAATATAGTATCAGACTATTATATTGATTGAATCAAAAATACTCAACTATTATAACTTGTATTTTTTTTTTTGAAGAAGTATAGAATTTGAAATTAGTATTGAAAAATTACTGTTAAAATTTTACGATATTGAAAATGATTCTGATTTAACACATCAGATATAAGCAATAGAATTCATTCTAATATTGTGATATGATATTTAATGAGTTTTAGATCTTTCTTGCACTTATGAAAATGACAATGATTTTTATGAAAAGTACTCAAAATTCGATATTGAGTACTATCGATACTTTAGCCACGATATTTTTTTGACATCGATATTTTGATTAGATACTTTTTAAAGTACTCAATATCGATCTTTTGCCTCGATACTTCTAACACTAGGTGTAAATAGAAGGAGTTGATGAAGGGTGTACTCCAGCTTTCTGAGCTCTAAATTATCTACAAACTATTGTAGAAAAAATCACCCCAAAAAAGTTGCAACAGTTCAAAATATCTAACAGAAACGACAGTGTCTAAACAAATTAATGGCATTTCAATGTGATTACAGAACAAATTAAACTCGTATGTCGGGGTGCCACTTTACATGTAAAAGATTCAGAATGAAATACAAAATAAAAACCAAAACAATTAACAATATAAACACGACGCCGCACTTTCTGCAAAATTTTTATAGATGAGCACAGGCTTTTTATATATTGGATTTTATATTACATTTTAATAGAAACGGTCATTTAATAAAACAAGCCATGAATATTGGACTAATAAGATAAAGAACAAGTTAAAATGAAATTGAAAATGGCGATGTATTGTTTTGTCACATTTGGCAATAAAATAAGATTCTTACTGACTTTGTTGGCGGCTTTGTTGATCGCATTAGGTTTAGTTTTACCAAACAAACCCGATACGCTAGTGCTTGTACCAGTACTGGTACTGCTAATGATCGGGTTTGCTATCAATAGGCTGCTAGATGTTGATTGAGCTGGAGTGCCAGAACTGTTGTTTGTTAGAGATTGAACATCTGTTGAAGCATTGCTATTTGTATGTCTGTAAATAAAATAAAATAATTGTAATTGATAATATTGTATATCAATTTTTAGTTTTTTTTTTCTTAAGGGGGTTGTTCTTTTTTTGTTACAAAAATGCAAGATATTTGTTTTCGTTTTTCTCGAAATGTATTTATCATAGAGACATGCGGTTTTTTTTAAACAAAAATTACAAAGTCATGGAATATTACGTGATTATCTTCTTTTTTTTGTGCCGTCATTTTTTAACCAGGGGGCGCCAAAGTCGGTCTTGCAAAATCGATCTCTTTTGCGGTGCCACAGATAAAACCGTTGCGCATCGCCCAAAACAAAAAAAAAAAAAAACTACGTTGAAGAAGAAGTTTGAATCCAGTCCCCCTACCAAATTAAAGAAAAAAAGCAAGCAGGGAGAATATGGCAGCTATTTGAAAAAACAAGTATCAAAAAAGGCCTTTTTTTGGGGCGAGAAGCTTCGCAAAATTTTTTTGCGTAATGTTATCAAGTTGTTTGAGGTAGGGGGACTAGGTATTGCAGTGGTGAACAAATTAAAAAAATGCAAGTCGATCCGACTTGCAGTTTTTTTTTAATTTGTGGCACCGCATTGAAAAAAGTCAATTTGAGAAAAACGTATTTAAAGTTTTTAATATAATGTACTAAATACACCATTTAATTTAATGTACTAAATACACCATGGTATTCAAAGATGCTGACACATTAAAAAGGTCATGTGCACGAGGTATTATAATGAAAAAGAGGCAGCTGGCATACAATAGCTCGCGGAGCGATAAAAAAACGCTTTCAGAGGATCATTCGTATAGAGATATATATATCTATAACTTCGTCAAAAAAATATATATTGAGATGATTTTTTTTTTAAATAATTGTAAGGTTTTTAGCTTTCATAATATCAAAAAATCTCAAAACCGAAACGAAGAAAAATAAAAAAAGAACAACCCCCTTAAACAATGTTTTCCTTAATACAAAGCATAATTTATTATTGACATTTATAGTATAATAAAAAAAAAATGATCATACTCACATATCAGGATTTTCTCTTATCCTATTGTCACTATCATCACTATCTGATAAACTCAGCTCAGAAGAACTCTCATCACCCTTTTTCCTTCCATAATATTTTTTTATTGGTGGTCCAGCCACAGGTGAATGTACATCATTTGCACTTGAATTGTCTTTCGAATTATCATTGTCATTATCTTTAGAAACAGTTGGGGATAGTTTCTTTGTCAGGCTCTTGTGGGAAGATCTAGAGCTGCTTGAAGAGTCGGAGTAGGTAGAACGAGATCTAGATCTGTAAAACATTGTATTGCACATGATTATAAATTTGTAATCAACATTATTTCATCATATTTGTCAGCAGTATCTGTTTAAGGTTGTAATATAAGCAAATTGCAGAATAAAGTTGACTAATAAATAAAAACTGTATATCAATATTATTCAGTAGTAAATATATCATTAATTATTATATATACTTAGATCTTAAATATGAAAAAATTTAAAAAAATAGGCTTTTACTTTTAAAAACAGCATACATACCTTTTTCTGGATCTCGATCTTCTTGATCTCGACCTAGAACGTCTCCTACTACTTAATTTGAGAGAACGGTTGGAATTATGGTAGCGGCTAGAACGAGTTTTTGACCGCGATCTTGTTCTCGATCTACGTCTTCTATGTGATGAATATGGGGAACGAGATCGTTGTCTATAACTGCGTGGTTTAGAATATGACCTAAATATGATTTGAAAACTATAATTATAATAAAAATATATATTAAATAAAAAATGAAAGCGTAATATGCATTAAACTAAAATATTTGCTGTTGATTTATAACACCAAACCTATTCATGAAATGTAATATAACTCAATTATGCATATTGATTTATTCACAAACCTGCTTCGCCTATGTCCATTACGTGATCGACTTCTTGATCTTGACCTACTTGACCTAGTCCCCCTTCGAGATCTACTCCTACTTCGGCGCCTTCGAACGGAACTACTCTTTAATTTATCAGCATATGTAGATTTTTTTCTTAAACTACTGGTGCTTCCTTTCTCTAAAATATTTCCAGAACTTTTATTTGAAGTTTGTTTTCCTGTTTCTTCTTCCCCTCCAAAAGAAGTTATATATGTTATTTGACCCAATGAAGATGGCGATGGTGATCGGGATACTGATTTTTCTACTTTTGGACCTTCCTCTGGGGCTTTTTCAACAGCAAAACTGAATGATGTGAAATGATGGTCTAGGAGTCGCTTTTCCCTATTTATTAGAAATATTTTCTTTAGGTTCAGCCAAGAAAAGGATAATGTGCACATAAGAAACATTTCTAATAATATGTCGAAGTTAATTGAATATATATATATATATATATATATATACGAGTATATATATATATATATATATATATATATATATATATATTTCAAAGTAACTAGCAGCCCATTCGTCGAAATGAAAGGAATAAAATATAAAAACTTTTATTTATACGTTTCGACACAAGATGCGTGTCATCATTCAGCAACTACAACAATTTGAAAATTTTATTAACTAATATAAACACCAATATAGATTAATTATAACAAGAGAAACATTATACACATCACAGGACAAAAACACTCAAAAAAATTTATTTAAAAAAAATTAAACTTATAACATATTAGAAAAAAACATATTTTGGAAAAATTATGAATAACTAAAAGATTTGAAAACTAATTTTCAAAGTTTTGAAGTGTAACATTATGAAGCATGAAATACGCCCATACCGAGCAAAATACTCGACTGTAATATTTCACTAGGCGTGTTGGTAGGAATGCGAGGGGAATGTATCGAAGGACAAATGCACGAAGCACGAATGCATCGTACACGAAGTGGTTGGTTGAAATGGATTTGATCAAAAGGAAAATGCAAAACATGTAAAAGTTTGAAGAAGAAAAAACAATCTTGTAAAAAATAATATAAAGGAGATAGCAAATTAATTTTTTGTTTTTTTAATAAAATCAATAATTAGCTGGTAACTATCATGTAAAAGGTGGGATGGATTGCGTTTATTAACACAAGAGGAATTTAATAAAATAAAAAAGGATTCAGCAAATTTTCTAAGGTCACTATTTTTTTCGATATAAAGAATAACAGGATGTGAAGTGTTAAAAGTGTGATTGAGATTGAGCATATGATCTGAAAACATCGTTTCGAATTGGTTTGGATTTTTTGAATTATAAGTATGTTGATTAACTCTCTTATAAATATACTGGGAACTTTCCCCAATATAACACATATTGCAATCATTGCAATCCAACCTGTAAACAGAATCGGTGACCCTATCAGACGGGGTTCCAGACTTAAGAACCGAAAAAAGGCAATTAAAAGTATTATAAAACTATCAAAAAAAGAAAATAGCTTTTTTAAAAAATACGAAAAATTGCTTAAAAAAGGTAAACAAATAGTTCCTTTGTATTGGAAGGAAGAAGAAGCTATTGAATTTGAATAAGAAGGTGAAAATGAATTATTAAAATTAGTTTGTAAATAATTTACTCTATTATTAATGATGTTGTTGACCAAGTGCGAAGGGTAACTATTATCTTTGAGAACAGAACGAATAAGGGTCAAATTTTTTTCCCAAAACATACTGTTACTCAGTAAAATAGCCCTGTCTATAAGAGAGATAATGACAGAAATTTTTATTTCGACGAATGGGCTGCTAGTTACTTTGAAATATGTTTCAACGTCGAAAAAACTATCAAGATATATATATATATACACTAGGGTGATCCTTAAAATGGTCATTTTCGAATTTCCTTGCTCCCAGGAGCTCAAAGGGTTCCAAATAGATAAAAAACAATTCTCTGAAAGTTTTAGCTCTTAATGTTAACGTTTAGATAGAGCGCAATTCAATCAAAGTTTTGTATGGAAATAGCATGGAAAAATTTTCAATAATTTTAAAAATGTTTTTTAGCTGTAATTTAGCAAACAAATGACTGAATAAA